TACCTCAAAGTTTGATGCAAAAACGCATGATCGTACCGGCTCGCCTGGTGCGTTCCAGCCTGGGTTACATATATGCAAGTGCGAAAACACATACTGTGGCTAGTGTGTGCGTGTGTGTAAGTGTATATGTGTGTGTGCGTCTGTCCGAGTATTTCAACTCGGCACCCAAGCGGGCTCCGGCGTCAAAACTTTGCGAGGTGGTTCCCCAGCCAAGTGCCACCTCAGGACTGCGATACCAATCCTCACGCACGTCCAGGCCCCCCGTACGGGCGCCTCAAAGTTTTGGCGGGAAAATCGCTAACTTGATAACCAAAAAAGCTAGAAAACTGAGATTTTGGAATTAGGTTCCCCGTCCATATACAACTCAAAGATTTTAAATTCAGCCCCCAGGTGTGCGCGCTTTCCGCGTACGGCCCCGTGAAGGTTTCTGGCGCGAAAATCGCCAGCTCGGGAACCAGAAGAGCTGGGGAGCTGAAACTTTCAGCGAATGTCCCCGGCTCATCTACAACTCAAATTTATCAAATTCAGTCCCCCGCTGTGCGTAGTTGCCACGTACGATCCTGTGAAGATTTTTGGCAGGAAAATGGCAACCCTGTAACCAGGGAAGCTGGGAGGCTGAGACTTTCAAGAAATGTTCCCAACTCATCTACAACTTAAGTTTATCAAATTCAGTCCGCCGTTATGCGTGGCTGCCACATACGGCCCCGTGAAAATTTTTGGCGGGGAAATGGCTAACTCCGGAATCAGGAAAGCTGGGAGGCTGGAACTTTCAGGAAGTGTTCCTAGCTCATCTACTACTTAAATTTGTCAAATCCAGCCTCCAGTCATGTGTGGTTCCATGTAGGGCCCCGTGAAATTTTCTGGCTGCAATTTGGGTAACTCGGGAACTGGAAAAGCTGGGAACCTAGGATTTCAAGAGAATGTTCCCTGTCCAAGTATAGCGTGGATAATAAACTTCTCGAAATTCGAGGATCACTATGTACAAGAGGTTTCTATCTACCGGAATTTCGAGTGATCTTATTACGGCACGAAACACTGCAAAAACGCACGATCGCACGGGCCCACCCAGTGCGTGTCGCCAATGATTTAATTACCAGCTGGTTCTGAAACAGCAGCAAACCATCACTGAAAAAAACTGCGCCAAAAGTTTTCTGGTATAATTCGGGGACTTTGCTGCAGTAGCTTCGTGCACGATGAATCCATTCAGTTGCGGACTTTGCCTATTCCTGGCAAGGCAGGAGTTCAGGAGGGAAGAAGATGTGAAGGAAGAGGAGGGAGACTGTCGCATTTTATGACGCAAACAGTCTTAATAAAAGGTTTTGTTCGGTGTTACCGAGCAGTGCTGTTATTTTATATTTAGGTGGTGCGGTAGCGGTGGTTGTGGTTGTATGCGTCGGATTCCTCTTAGTGCTTCTGGTAATCGGTGTGCTGAAAATGCGTGATACGCCACTTCCGAGACGGAGGCGCAGCCGAAGAAGCGCTGTAAGTTTCGAACTTATAACAAAACCCTTAATTTTCGTCGCTCACTTGAAATGCATATTTCTAACAGTTTTACCATTGGACGGTCTTTTCTATCAACCTCATACACGCTTTACTCAGGAGGGAACAATGGAATGGGATGACAGTGGTATGAATATAACGGTAAACCCACTGGACGAAGTTAACAAAACTGGTGCCGAATTCTCCGATGAAGACGAAAGTTCGGACGGCGACGAAAGGTGATGTTATGTCAATCTCTCACTTTTCACCTAGATTTCTCTACGATCAGAAATCTCTAACCGATCAGAAACCTTTTTAGAAGGCTGCATTTTTTAATGCGTTTTGCGCCGCAGTAGTAAGGCAGGACGCATATTGTTTTTTGACTTAGCAACCAGAAGAATTTGAAATCTGAGATTTTACAAGATGCTTCCCACCCGTGTACTACGACAAAAACATGAAATTAACTTTCACGTACGCCTAATTTGCATGTTTTGGGACGTGAAGGTTAAAATTGCAGAATCGTTAGCACCGCTCCAACTCCGCAGTGAGAAGTTAAGAAGCTGGTGTTTTGTGATTTTCGGCCGTGCTACGATCCTTCGACCCATGAACTGGCTTTCACAAGCTTTTCTGTGTCGCAGACGTATAAAACTTGAAACCGTGAAATTGTTCGCATCTTTTACAACCCAGGAACCAAGCAAGTTGATGAGGCAAGCTTGGTCCCCCACACTGACCTGTCTCCAACGGTCTTGTTATTCTTGCTACGCAGTTCGCACTATGAGTAATAGCAATCAAGCTCGAATGTAGCCATAATAAAGCCTCTTTCCGCTGCTGTCAGGTGTGTTAAACTGACTGCGGAAAATGAAAAAGGAGCAGTCGCAAAAGTCGCACAACATCCTATGTTGTGCGACTTTTGGTCAGTTTATTTCCCAGGCCGGTCTAAACATAAGCGCATATCCAATCGTAATGCCAGTTCCTGAGATTTGATTCGGTCAGTCCTTTGTTAAATTTTCCGATTATTGATTGAATTGCAGCTTTCATGAAGAAGGCCTTACAGAAGACGAAGAAGATGCCGGCCATGTGCTTCCTCATGTTGATAACGGTTTGTTGAAATTTTTGCCTCCGCGGTCCCAGCATCCCAAGAAAAAGTGACCCGAAACATTCAGTTAAAATTAGTCCGTTCCGTAATTTATTTGAGATAATCTGAAACGAAAAATAACCCACAAACATCCGTATTCACTCTCTCAGAGAGGTGGAGGAACTCGGATGCACTCCGAGAGTAACAAGTGCCAACACCAAATACTCGCTAGCAAGGCTGTCGGAGGTTGGTTAGAAGTAAGGTGACGGGGGTTCTGGTTCCCTGCATGTGCTTCCGTTTGTGTGTATTGGCCTGCAAGCCTTGTTCCGAGAAGACCCGGACTAGCCCGGTGTTTAGCGAGGAAATTTACAAATTTCAAAGCCGCATGAAATTTATCCCTACGCTAGAACTTGCAGGTAGCATTACCTTGGTTAAAATCCAGGAATTTCAAACTGTTTTTTTTTTTTTTTTTTTATGAATTTTAAGCAGCGAATGGGTGAATGAGCTCCAAATTATTTCGGGATAAGAGAGGGCTAAATTGTTCTGGAAAAAAATTATCGTTGACGGAAATCGAGTACCACCATCGTTTAGCATGGGCTGATCGCCGTCGTACGTCGTCAACTAGCAAGTGATGATGGAACGACGCAGTGCTTCTCTCTCATTGTTTCAGAACGACAAAGCAGAGGCTTGGAATGGGATGATACAACTTTAACGAACGTCTCACGCACCTATCGCGTGTAAATTTGAGAGCTGGACGCACGGCCTGTCCACCCGACAGCAGCCACTGACCGCTTTTCCATTCTTCAATCAATCTTTTTCTTTCGCCCATCTCCAGATCCGTGTTTCCACAGCATTTACACTCTTCACTGTGATCTGATCCGAGACGTTGATGGAGCACTTCCTGTCCCAGTCTTTGCATTTATCCTACTATCAATGATACTACTTACTCGGATTACCCCATGCGTGCCATTTGCCTCCCGGTTTTTATGTGAACGGTTCCCTACATAAAAATTATTTTTGTGTGGGTTAGTATCAGGATTATGTGTGCCATAGTACCATGTGTAATCCCTTCGCGCGCAAACAAATCCCTTCAATTCCTTGGTGTTTTTTCAAGCGAAAAATACAATTCTAATACAAGGATTTCTAGTACTTGGTCCTTGAATTTCTTCGATTATTATCGCAAATCCATTGGAACTTGTTCTTCCAAAAGATACAGCCAAAATCTAGCGCATGTCGCACTCGCGTGAACTTGTAACAGGATTTTCTAGACGATCATTCCATTTTTTCCTGGTTTTTGCTTTGTTTCATGCCGAACAGTAATTTGTCGCTAATACCAATGAGCAGAAGAGGAAAAAAAAA